AAATCATACGTCTTCTTAACCACTTTATCCACCTGTCCTGATGCATTGAGGGACTGGTGTGCACACACATCAAGGCCCCTCTAACCCTCAGTGCTTCCCGGGGTCCAAACATTCATCATATATTTCCTCACCTTCTTTGCCCTGCCCAAGTGCATCACATTTATCCAGACTGAATTCCATTTGCCACTGATCAGCCCATCCATATCCGCCTGCAGCCTCAAGCTATCCTCCTCACTATTTACCACCCCACAAATTTTCGTATCATCTGTGAACTTGGTCACCAACCCTCAAGTCTAAATCATTCATAAACAGCAAGGACCCCAACACCGATTACTTTTGGGACCCCAATGGACACAGGTTTCCAGTTGGAAAAACACCCCTCAAACATCACCCTCTGCTTCCTGCCACTCTGCAAATTTCCTTGGTTCCCATGGGCTCCTATCTTTGCTATCAGTCTCCTCTGTGGACCTATCCAAAGCTTTACTGAAGTCCAAGCAGACTACTTCAAATGCACTGTGCTCATCTGGTCACCTCTTCAAAAAATTAAATCAAATTAGTCATGACCTCCCCTTAAAACCAAGCTGACTGTTCTAGATTTATCTGTGCCCCTTCAAAAGCAAATTAATTCTGTCCCTCAGAATTGCTTCCAATAGTTTCCCCACCCCAGAGATTAGGCTGACGAGCCTATAATTTCCTGGTTTATCCCTTGCTCCCTTCTTGAATAACAGTACCACATTGGCTGTTCTCCAGTACTCCAGCACTGCTCCTGTGGCTAGACAGGAATTGAATATTTCTGCGAGTGCCCCTATTATTTCCTCCCTTTCCTCACTCAACAATCTGGGATACATTTCATCCAGCCTTGGATACTTACCTACTTTTAAGCCTGCCAGATTACTCAGAGTCTCCTTTCTATCTATACTAACTTCTTTAAGTATACCACAGTCCTTCTCCCTGATTTCTATATCCATATTGTTACTTTCAAGAATGAACACTGACCAAAGTACTAATTTAGGACTCAACCTACATCCTCTGGCTCCATGCACTAATTACCACTATGGTCCTTAATTGGCCCTATTATTTCCTTCGTTTATTCTTTTACCCTTAGTGTACCTGCTAAGGGCACTAGTTGGATAATCCAGAAGGCCAGGTCAAACCTGTGGGGTCATGGGTTCAAATCTGATCACAGCAGCTAGTGGAATTTAAATTCAATTAATAAATCAGGATTTCAAAGGTAAACTAATGAAAACCATAAAACCACTGCCAATTTTTGTAAAAACCCATCTGCTTCACTAATGACCTTTAGGAAAGGAAGTCTGCCATCCTTATTTGAAAAGTCTACATGTGGTTCCAGGCCCACAGCAATGTGGTTGACTGTTAACTACCCCTGAAATGGCCTAGCAAGCCACTCAGTTGTGCCAGACCTCTACAATGTCTGAAAGAAATGAAACCAGAAGGACCACACAGCATCAACCTAGGCAAACTCAGTCCTGTTGACCCTGCAAAGTCCTTCTCACCAAAACCTAGGGATCTATGCCAAAATTGGAGTGCTGAACAGAGGAAAATATGGTGCAAGCAAATTAGAACGTTACATTTGTGACACTTTATTTTCTTGGAAGTGACGGTTCTGCCATTGCTTCCACCAAAATCAGTCAGCACGTAATCATCATAGCTCTATCTCCATTAAGAACAATGGCACACAAAATTCTAATGAATTAATGCCACTTTTTATGCCACTGCCACATAAGATCCTTAGATAAACATGCTACTAGCCTGACAGCACTGTGATTTATTTCTTCTAAATATGGTTAAATGAACCAGTCTTCAATGCTTACATGATTATAATTCAACTAGCAAATCACTGTGCTGCTGAGAATGATCAGCTTCAGCTACACTGATATTTGAAGCACCATACCTGAAGCTAGAAACAAAGAGTCAGCACACCCATGGAATCTATGCAAAGGCCACACAGGACACAGTGGTCTAAATGGAAGCTCACCAAAATTAGAACCAAATTTCTTATCCACGAAAGACAGCACAGCAAATGAGAGTACCATTGTGGACAAGTGCCACATTTCAATTTTGCATCAAACTCTATGCCCTCTGTTTAAGTAGGCATGCATTTCTTAATAATAGTCAAATATCCAGAAATACAATGGCCCTGCTACACCAGCTTCTGCACCACACGCCCTGCAGTACATTAGAATCAAACAGTGATACAGCCCAGAAGGAACCCACTTGACTCATCATGGTTGGGCTGGCTTGAACTCAGGGAGGCAATGGCCTAGTGGTACTATCGCTGGATTGTTAATTCAGAGACCCAGCACACATTCTGGGGACCCGGGTTCAAATCCCGCCACGACAGATGGTGGAATTTGAAGCCAATAAAATATCTGGAATTAGGAATCTAAAGATGGTCATGAATCCATTGTCGATTGTTGGGAAAAACCCATCTGGTTCACTAATGTCCGTTAGGGATGAAACTGCCATCCTTACCTGGTCTGGCCTACACGTGACTCCAGATCCACAGAAATGTGGTTGACTCTCAACTGCCCTCTGGGCAATTAGGGATGGGCAACAAATGCTGCCTCACTAGCGACGCCCTCATCCCATTAATGAATTAAAAAAAACTATCCAACTAGTCTCAAACCACCACACTTTCTCCATAACCCTGCAACTTCTTTAACTACTAACCCAATATTTTTCAATTGCGATTTTTTTTTTGCAGAAGGGCTGTCTCTAAAAATTGACCTACCATTGACATAAAGCTGACTGGCCATGTCAGCTGTATTTGCCATGTTTATCCTAAACAGGAGGTGTAATCTTTATAATCTTCCATTATCTGGTATCGCACCAACATCTAAGGAAAAGTATAGGATTGTGACCAGGTTCTCAACAAATTAAGACTGTTCTTCTCTCAACCTAGAAAGTCCTTTTGGATAGGGGAATGTTTTAAATGTTTTAATCATTTAAGCATCTGGTCTTTATTTTTAACCAGTCTAACTTCACAACTGCCTCATCCCTGTACTATAGTGAATATAGCTGTACAGTACAGTGCCTCAGTCAATTCTGCTGCCACAATTCCCTTTCACTATTTTCACGTTTATGAAAAATAAGTTTCCTTTTTCTCCTTTCTGTCTGCCACTCACATTCCCTTTTTATAGATCTCCTCTATACTTCTAATATTCAGCTTTTTTCTTTATTGATTTGTATCTTACATTTATCATAAATATCCTTTGTTGTTCCATTTTAATTGTCATCTAGGTGAAATCTAGCTTTGGACCACTTCCTTTCCTCCTTTGTAAATATGTATTCTGTACCCAGACAATCATCTCTTTAAAGGTTTCCCACTGTTTAATTACTGCTGCATCTACTAATTTTTGATTTCAATTTACCTGGACAAGATTTCTTTTAAATTCTACCATCAAGTATTTTTGTGCTCAATTGTTCCTTTTCTCAACTATTCTAAAACTCCCCTATTGAAACGCATTCCACTTGCCCCACATAATCCCACGAAACTGGATCCAGCATCGCTTCCATTCTCATGGCTGGAAACACACCTATTAAAAAAGTTCTCTTGTACATATGTCAAGAATTCTCTTCTCTCTTTGTACCTTTACATTGTCACTATCTCATTAAACATTAGGCTAATTGAAGTCTTTGATTAACATTACTCTGTCATTCTTGCATTCTTCCAAAATTTGGCTAAATGTTTGTTCACCTTTTTCCTGCCACCATATACACCCATTAATGTAATAGCTCATCTTTTGTATATTAATTCTAACCAAATAGATTCTGTGTGATCCCTTGGCTATTATTCCTCTCCATTATGATAATAGGTTATTTAACCAATTACGTGACCATTCATCCTTTTATCCTTCCCCACTTTTCCTGAATAGTTTGTAGACAGAAACATTAAATTCCCAATTCTTCTCTTTTTAAAGATTGGTCTTTATCATTGGCATCTACATCATAGTCCTGTTGAGCTATTTATGTCTGAATCTTACCAATTTATTTACTGTTCTGTACATTTATGTATGTCCACTTCAGAACAGATCTTAGACTCCTTCCCATTTATGATCTTTTATTTGATTTAGCCCTAGATTTTGCTAGCCTTCTGTGAACCTTGATTTTCCACTACAATGGTTCACCCTGGCAACCACCCCTCATCAAATCAACTTAAACCATTCTACGACTCAAAACCTATGGTATTCACCACCAATCTCACCGCTGCAAGAGAATATGTGAGAAAATACATTTGAGGGGACGTTAGGTAAGTAAATGAAGGAGTAGGGAATAGAAGGACATTTTGATTGAATTAGATGAAGCAGGGTAGAAGGAGGCTTGTGTAAACCATACATTCGGGCCACAATCAGTTAGATCCAATGACCAGTTTCTGCAAAAGCGGGAGGTACAACAGAACTAAGGAGTATGAAAAAAAGAAGTCATTGCAATCTCATCGATATTTATTTGCAAAGCACCAGAGCTTAATTATTGTTGTAGTTTTCTATAAAATAATACAATTAAATTCAATTTTCATGAGACGTGACATATCTTATCAATGTGCATAATTTTAAAAGTATGTGGTGTAAAACAAACTTCCCTAATAAATCTCAGGCATCCTTAAATTTTGTTTTATCTTAGTGGATTTTATTGGGTTTTTTAACAATGCACAATGAGATAGGGTGGTCAATCAACATCTCGTTATTCATTTTACAATCTGTTTATTCAACTACATTACTACAAAAAAATCCCTGAGTGTATTTGAGTTCTTTTAAATTTTGTGCAGCTAAATTAGTATTGATCTGTTAAAAATAATTTCTGGGCAACACTTCACCTATTCAGTATAAACCACATGCTTACTTTGTCAATCAAAATAAACAAACAGCCACACTGTAGGGCTCAGTAACTCTGTGGGTCAGATCATAGAATTCATAGAGCATACAACATAGCCATGCAGCATCACGTTTGCATTGGTTCTTTGGAAGAGTTGTTAAACTCACCCCACTTCTCTGCATTTACCCAATATTCGGGAGCTGAGCTAACCTTTGACCCAAACAGAATTGAAGACCGCAGCACGATTTCTTTATTGAACCCCAGAGTAAGAACGAATGGATCTTTCGTAACTTGGTTCCAGTTGCTTGATGCGGAAAATGCTATTTCTCTCCTTCAGTTCCTGTCTGTAATTAGAGTACAATTCTAATAAAAAGTGAGTTTGCACTTTGTTTCTGCTTTATTTACATATTCAAAATTTCAGACTGAACTCAAGCTGCTTGGGAATAGTTACTGGTAAAATACATAGATTAGAACTAAAATTTGTGTTACAGTCGATAAAAAGACTCATACCTTAGGCCAAGTCTATGTTTTTCTACTGAGAATCAATTTTGTTTGAGTTTCATAGTGTTTTATCATCCACAAGTTCTCTTTCCCTATCGTCTTAACATTGCCTCACTAACTACCTACCCCAACTCTCTGCTGGCCCTCACGTCCAATGCTCACCCAATACAACCACTCACCATACCCAGAAGAATTTGCCACCACTGATGTCCCAGAATAATTGATATCCTTGGAATCTGCACCATCAGAAGACTGCTGTGCGCCCAGACAAGCACTGTCAATCCAGAGTTGCCCTGCACGGTTCATTGCATTTGTCCGAGAGGGGGCAGGTAAGAGGAAATTGGTGAGCCCACAAAGGGGTCAAGCACATGGAAGTCCTGGTGAATACAGCGATGCAGAACTGAGATGTACTCTTCCTCCATGGACAGCAGAATGTTCACGCCATGAGCCCCTGCCAGCATAGCCTGAGGTTCCCAACTGGGTCAGTGTCGTCTCAGCCATCTGGTGACATGCCCAGCAGTGAACCAAGAAAGTCATTGACATTCTCCATTTGGCCAGGTTAAGTGCCACCATCTTTTCTCTACTACCTTCACAATCTACCTCTGTTACTGCACCCATCTCCTACCACGGCTCATGCTCTGCCCATCTCATTATTACATGCAATATCTTCCAATTACTTGCTCTCACCAAGCCCAAACTCCAACCCTCCCTCACTTGCTCAGGACATTCCCCCATCAGCACCAACAGCTGTATCAACCACTTTCACCTCACTCAATTCTTCCCCTTCTCTTACTCCAGGAGAAATAATCCTAGGACAGAAAGAGCTCGGATACATGGTGGACTGCTTGACATTCAGTTCTTCACCCTGAGGAGAGGAACCTGACCCTGACCATCCAAGTGGCTGACAGACCACGTCCAAATCTCTGAACTGATATTGGAGGATGCCCTTTACTTACGATATTAAGACCACCTGAGGTAAGGACATCACACTTGACTAAGGCCTGCTGACAACTACAACAAACTTTCTTTGTGTCTGTATTAAAATGGCAAGACAAGACAGAAGCACTGTGAGACTGGTAACTCTGGCTGGGGTAGTGGGGGCAAAGTGCTAAAAGGCAAGACAAAGCAAGGCAAGAATGCTTGAACATGCAGTATGTTCAAGATGAGTAAACGAGCACCTCTGAGATGCAGCCCAATCCAATCTATGATCCAATTCCCCATGAGCAAAGTTATTCCAATGCTACTTGTTGTTGCAAGGATTTAAAGTGCAAAAGCATCCTGTAAATGGATTGAGAAATACCGTGAGGGCCCTGAGACATTGGCTGGCATCAGATGTAAATGTCTACGGATGGGAGGCAAGTGTGACTGGGTGTCCTGAAACATGTCCTAGTAGCTGGAAGTCCAATGTCATGATCTGGATGAGTTACCAAGTCCCCACTCTGACTTACATGTCAGAAATTCTCAGTGTCCAGTTTCCACATGGCAGGTTGTAGGATAGGGGGATGCTTATTAATGTGTAATGATGTGCAGTTAAAGAGGCCAGCAATAAACAATGATCACTGTTAATAGGCAGTTTGCCACTTTCTAGCAAGAATCTCAACTAGACACCAAAAACTTAATTAAAAAATGCAGATAGTTACTCCCAACTTTGAGAAAGGCCTATCTTCACTGGAACGATTCTCCATCATCCACAGCCCTACAAGATTCCACCCATGTTCACACGGGGTGATTTTTATCTCGCTCAGAAACACGACAAGTACTATATTATAAGCGACTCTGAATTGACCTCATCGATTAGGGAGTAAACAACAACGGATTGATTAACAGAGTTGGATTGAAAATTCAGTCACTGATAGGGGAGTGGATACAGAACCATTAATAGCTTTCCAAAGGGTATTGGTAAAACATTGGAAGGAGAAATAATTGCAAGGATGTGGAGAAAGAGTGTAGAAAGTGGGATTAACTCTTGCTGTGTTTTATAGACAAAGTGGCCTCTTCATATCTTGTAATATTCTGTAAGTCTGCATTCCTGGCCAAATCAAACTTGCTCAATTATCTTAGGGTGTAATTTCACATACCAGAAATTAGCTGGAGGATTTTTCTTTTGTTTTCCTCCTCACTAATAAATATTCCTGGCAGCAGAGAGTTGCACAAGGTTGGCAGAATTTAATGCCTAAAGCAGGGGCATAAAAATCAATCCCTATTGCATATGCTTCCAGGTATCTGTGGTGGTTTCTCATTGTCAAGTATTTGGGACCTGTTTGAGGGAGCCAACATCTTAAGAGAGAAGTGTGTCCTGGTAAGTGTTAACTCTCTACCGTTATTTTCAACCAGCCTCCTCCCATCACCACTCACCCATGCTTGAAGCCACGGTGACTCTGGGCCTTGGTGAGTGTAGGACTGTCAGAAGACAGTGCCCCCACATTGGCTTTGCTGGACAATGCAAAGTTGCCAGTCTTCAAATGATCTGAAGATCTTGATGGGCAGGACTTTCATCCCAGGGTCCTCAATCTTGAGAAAGGGTCACCACAGCCCAGTCAGCGAAGTGTCTGTTTGGCACTTAAAGCAGCAGGTCTTCCTGAAAAGCAGTGATGCCAATTCTGCATTAAATATTGCCCACTCCCAAACAGCAAAGAAGAACCTGGTGCCTTTACTCAACTTTTCAAGTGTATCAATGATTTTGATTAATTTCAGCTATGGACTGTTTGTTATACATTTTACTGTCTGGAAGAACTCAGGTTATTGTGAATTAACCTTTTTTAAACCACATAGAAAAGGCATTGCTCAGGCAAGCAGTTACTGTTACTGATAGTAGAAAGTGCTTCGGCTATTTTTCATTAAAGCAAAGTAATATATGTACATGTCCATTTATATTTTATATGCATGTAGCCCACTACTCCAAGCAATGTAAACAGCCAACACTGTAGTAATTTTCATGTCCCCACCCCAACAAACTCAATTATCAACGCTGGTACAGAACAAAATAAAAGCTGCATGTTATTAGACTTTTGAATTATATGCCGAGTTGAAATTACTAATTATGAAATAAAGGAGAATAAGTCTAGAGGAAAACACACTTTCTTCAAAGATAGTAAGGAGACTGTATCATATAATATCTTTCACAATCTTTGATCATCCTGATGTAAATCCAAAGAGGCCAGTATTCTGTCACCAAGTCACCCTTTATTTAGGCATGGAAAGTCCATGACACTGGTCTAGTTCCTTTGAAGCCAGCTCTTGGAGTGAACAGAACCTCTGACATTCCTCTTTTTATCTGTCAGCCAGGGCTCCCTGATTGGACCACATTAACAGCCCCAATCAGGGAACTCATATTCTATGAGGTCCACCTGGCTGACCTCATTACAATCACTACAATCCCAAAGTACTTTACAGCCAATTAAGCACTTTAGAAGTGTAGTCATCATTGCAATATAACAACAACTAAACTTTGCTCAAGATCCCACACACAGGAAAGATACAGATAACAAAATAATCCTTTAGGTTAGTTAGTGATAAATATTGGTCCGGTCACAGAGGTCTCCAGTCCATCTCCAATTAGTTCTATTTTTCGTACATCTGAGACAATAAAAAGCACTTTGGTCTGATATCTCAGTGCAAAGGTGATATCTGCAACAGCACAGCACTCCCCCTGTAGTGTAGTGGAGTGCCAGAATAGATTACGAGACCAAGTCTCTGGAGAGGGACTTGCACTCAAGACCTTCTGACCCAGAAATGAGAGGCAAGTCTGACAAAGCATTGAAAGAGAACCAAATTGGACTTAAAATGTTAACTCTCATTTTCTCTCCATAAATGCTACAAGATCTCCTCAGTTTCTCCAGCATTTTCTGTCTTTATATCTGACAAAGCAATTGCCCATTTGTGTAATACATATATGGTCAAATTTATGTATTTACTAAATAAAGATACATTCCATACAAGGAACAGCACCTGCAGAAAAACAAAAATCTATCAAAGTATCAGGACTTAAAAGTCTTCCCTCAAATAGACACTGCACTGAATAGACACAAACACAAGAAAATAATTACAAAAGGTGATTAAATACCAAACATGATATTAGCTATTAGTACTTCCAGTGAGTACCATACTGGAACACTACTGGTGGGATGGTTTGCATCCTTGGTGTCAATCTGCTCCTTTTTTTCTCTAATTCCACCAGACTTTTTTATTATCTAAATGGCAAGAAACACAAAGTGCTTTAGCAAAGAGGGATCTGGGTGTCCCTATGTATGAATCGTAGAAAACCATTGCATACAATTTTGGTTCCCTTACTTGAGGAGGGATGTAGGTGTATTGGAGTTCAATTCACAGGAGGTTCACTAGATTGATTCCAGAGATGAGGGGTTTGTCTTATGAAGAGGGATTTCACAGTTTGGGCCTATAATCTCTGGAGTTTAGAAGAATCAGAAGAGATCTAATCGAGGTATATAAGATGCTAAAGGGAACCGACAAAGTAGACATAGAAAAGGTGTTTCCTCATGTGGGCAATCTACAATGTAAGGACATAGTTTTAGGATAAGGGGTAACAGATTTACAACAGATGAAGAGAAATTACTTCTCTTAAAAGGTCGTGGACCTGTGGAATTCACAACCCTGAGTGCTAAGGTGTATGTTGGGGCATTTAACAGTAAATTTAAGGAGGAGAAAGACAGATTTTTCATCAGTAATGGATTGAAGGATTATGGAAAGCAGGCAGGAAACTGAAGTTGAGTCCAAGATGAGATCAGCCATGTTTGTATGAAATGGCAGAGCATGCTCGAGGTGCTGAAGTGCCGACTCCCACTCCTAGCTTTTATGCTCCTGAACTCAATGCTTGCTCTTGCTGGTCTTTCATACCTCATTTTCTACTGATTCCTGGTGCTCGCACATCTTCCTGTTTTTGTGCTTTCCTGCACCCTTTCTCTTACCCAACTTTCCTTTTGTTTCTCTTGAAATGCTTTTCATCCCCATTATCTCCTAATTCTGAGGAAAAATATTAATCTCCAAAACAATGGCTGTCTTTTTGGGATTTTTGCATGGACGCTGCACAACCCACTGCATATGCTTCACCATTCATCACGATCACGGCTGATTGACGAACTCAATAGCCTAATCCTGCTTTCTCCCCATAACCTTTGATGCCATTTGCACCAAGTACTATGTCTAGTCGCCTCTTGAACACATTCAATGTTTGACGTCAACTACTTCCTGAAGTAATGAATTCCAAAGGCCCACTACTCTTTGGGTGAAGAAATATCTCCTCACCTCCGTCCTAAAATATCTACTCCGAATCCTCAGACTGTGACCCCTGGTTCTGGACAAACCCACCATTGGGAACATCCTCCCTGCATCTACCCTATCCAGTCCAGTTAGAATTTTGTAAGTCTCTATGAGACTCCCCCTTATTCGTCTGAACTCCAGCAAAAACAATCATAACCTGGTCAATCTCTCCTCATATGTCAGTCCCGCCATCTCGGAATCAGCCTGGTAAACCTTTGCTGCATTCCTTCTAGAGAAAGAGTATCCTTCCTCAGAAAAGAAGACTAAAACTGCACACAATAGAAGATCATAGAATCCCTACAGTGTGAAAACAGGCCCTTCGGCCCAACAAGTCCACAACTAACCAGAGAGCATCCCACCCAGACCTATCCCCCTATAACCCACCTAATCTACACATCCCTGAACACTACGGGCAATTTAGCATGGCCAATTCACCTAAACTGCACATCTTTGGACTGTGGGAGGAAACCGGTGCACCCGGAGGAAACCCACACAGACACAGGGAGAATGTGCAAACACCACGCAGACAGTTGCCCGAGGGTGGACTCGAACCCGGATCCCTGGTGCTGTGAGGCAGCAGCGCTAACCACTGAGCCACCATGCCGCCAATATTCTAGGTGTGGCCTCACCAAGGCCCTCGATAACTGCAACAACACATCCCTGCTCCTGTACTTGAAACGTCTTGCAATGAAGGCCAACATTGCATTTGCCTTCTTTACTGCCTGCTGCACCCGCGTGCTTACCTTCAGCAACTGGTGCACAAGGATGCCCGTGTCCCGCTGCACACTCCCCTCTCCCAATTTACAGCCATTCAAGCCTTCTTGTTTTTGCTTCCAAAGGGAATAACCTCATATTTAAACAAATTATACTGCATCTGCCATTGATTTTCCCACTCACCTAATTATTATAATCGTTTGTTATGATAGCTTCAGATTTAATACATTTTGCGCTTTTGTGGTTGAAGGCTAGTCAAGGTACTTTAACTTTTAAAGAGACCAGTGAGAGGAACAGTTGATTTTCTTTTAAAGAAACCAGATAGTTCCAGATTTATTACTGATCTTGCACGAACTTAATTAAGGGAAAACACTTGACTGTTTTTTATAACTTGGTTCTGATGGCTGCACTGTTTAAACAGTGTTTCGCAGGGTTAGAGTTTTTCTGGTTGAGCAAACTTGCTGAAAGAAAAGAGCTGCTCAGCCCTGACTCCTATTTCTGAAGCACCTATGTGGGGAATGCAGTGTGAAACCTGATTATCCTCTTGGAGTGCGACTGGAAGACTTTTCTATACTGTTTTTCCCGAGCACACTGCATCAACCAAAACCAGAGTGATCGATTTACGGATGCTGCACCATATCATTCTTTTGTCTTCAAGAACTAAAAGGTGCTTCTTTCTCAAAGTGAATCTCTGCAGAGAGAAGGACAGTTTTCCACTTCTCCAAGAGTGAATGGGTATGTGTATATTTACAGTTATTCATATGGAGTTACAGTCACATTGCAAATTGTGTGTGTACCAATTCTGCATCGTCATAGAATAAATTTTGAAAGACAAAAAAAATCAAATTTGTTTATTAAAGAATTATTGAGTCCCTACATTGTGGCCTATATTCGGCCTATTGAGTCCAAACTGGCCCTCTGAAGAATATCTCACCCAGACTACTCTCCATTTCTTATAGCTAACCCACCTAGCCTGCACATCCCAGGACACTACGGAGCAATTTTAGCATGGCTAATCCGCCTAACCTGAACATCTTTGGACTGTGGGAGGAAACGGGAGCATCTAGAGGAAGACACAGGGAGAATGTGCAAATTCCACACAGACAGTCACTTGAGGGTGGAATCAAACCCAGGTCCTTGGCACTGTGGGGCAGCAGTGCTAACCACTAAGCCACCGTGCCGCCCTAAAGAGATCTGATTGACAGATCTTTTCATTCTATACATAGAAAGTGTATGGCCATATTGGGAATTGCGTAGAACAGTTGCAGTTACGTTGTGACCTACGCAGTACTGGGGCTTCCCACCTTCATCATAAAAAAAAATCTGATTTCCTGTATTGGAACATGCTGCTGGTTGTTCACAAAGAAGAGCTTCATTTGGATTCTAATACTCAATTAATACTATGTTCATGTATACATTTTTGATTTTGGTTTTAGACTGAGATGGGAAGGAGAGATTGAGCATTGAACAGAAAGTGTTCCTTCTCCATTAAACATTCCTTCTCCATTAGACTAATACAAGACGTATCAATGACTAATAAGGATTAAATATTTTTCACATTTTTAATTGTATTGCAACAG